TCCACTTATTTGAATTCTTTACGACAACTGTCGTGTCCAAAAGATTTGTCTTTGATTACAGACTCGAGACCATTACACGTATGATTTGTTCGAGTGACACAAAGAATCTGTGGATAGGCGATTTGATGTCAATACATAGTACTTACGGCATGCGCTGTCAGACACAACCATTTGTCTCTGTACTGAATCTCACCATAATACGACGCTAGGATAAAATTCATTCATGCCATTTTGAGTCCGCTAATTATTTCCCATATATGAACACATTGGATGTTTGTTTAGAAAGTCACGTCACGACAATAATGCCGCTTACATTATTGCTTGTCATATCCACCGCCTCATGGACAAATTTCTGAAAAGTTAAAGTCGATGCAAACAATTCTCCTCAAATCAGCAAGTAGCTCGCTGGTGGACGTACAAGCGTTTTACTGCGCCTTACGTAATGCAGAATAAATAGCAGCGGGCATGTTCAAACATGTTTCCACCAATTGGAACGCGCACCTCCTTCGTTACGTTACCAATAGACTTCGCCGGATTCTACATTTATCCGTTGTGCCCTGATGAAGGATTTTATGCGAAGTGCTTAGAACGAAATATCGCTTCTTATATTTTCGTCATAACCAGAGAGTACAATTTTCAACATACCTGTTCGAATTTAAGGGATAAGCCACCGTTAGTTGTTTTCAACTCCAATGCATATAGAAAGCGAGCGTATGTTGTAAACAACTTTGCGAAATAAGGTCAAAACCTATGTCTCATATATACAAATTAAGACAATGCCCACGTAATTTTCACGACCGTAACTGGGAGCCAGTATGAGGGCGTCTGTGAATGCGTTTTGATGGGGCCTTCCGAAATCTGCGAGGTACAGCACTGGGCTAAGTTGACCGTTTTCGCTGTCCGTAGCCAATATAAGCCTTAGTGGGAGTTGATAAAGGTTACCCTTCCGTTTACTTAATCTTCCAATCAGTCTCATTCTAGCACCTGCTCTCCGCATTTCTCTTGTCTGCTTCATAATCACGCGCCAACTCTGTCCCAATGAACACTTTGGGGATCAGTGCGATTACACTTTATTCACGGAACACTAGATGTATATAAAGAGGAAACAAGACAAACAATAACATGACACAGTCGATACAGACTCGGGCGCGCACGGAGCAAGGAGTCCGCCAAAATCGACAAGTTCACAGACAAGGGAGGAATATTTGTAACAGCTATATGTGTGGAGAATACACGTCGCTGCCGTCCGGACTTTCACCAAAGGACATTCACAAACGCGAAGCTGCTGACTTATCTTGTTCCACATTCCGCAATGTATTTCCTTCATGACTGTCGCGTCATCTCACTGTCAATCAAGATAAAAACCTGTTTTTAATGCATAGAACTTCAGATTTATATAATTGCTAACATCATCTGTCCACGTATAAGTTTATGTGGCTTTTGGTTTGAATATGGTACCAATCTGTCAGATAAATCAGATGTTTTGGGTGAGTACAGTTTTTTTTGTTCCTCGATACACGCAGATAAGCGCAGCAACCGCGGTTGCTCAGGGTGACGGCCAAAAACAAAAATACTAAAGTTGATCTTGAATATCCGGACGAACTTTGCGTCGCATATACAAACGAACGTAAGATTATAGACTGACCTGGCGGGATGATTGGGTCAGTGACAAATAAAGAAAAAATTCAAAATTTCTTCTTTCTTTTGGGGTTCTAAACGCCTTAAGTCAATGAATTAACTAATTCAGCACAAGCGGCTCTATAAGCACAATTGATATCCGTGAACGTCCGATTGTAGCGGACTGATGAGTGAAATGCCGGTGTCGTAACTATGTTTGAAAGGCAGATGGCAAATACTTGACCACATATAAAGCCGGTCGATCATTAAGTCAGCATTAAGTCATTAAATCAGTAGGTGCTTTGTTTTTGCAGAGGTTATGTTGCAGTTTGTTGTGGTGTTGAGCACACTATCTTCTCTCAATCAGAGGAATGTTTTGCATTTGGCATTGCACTTTCGGCATCAGGAAACCTATTTTCCTTAGGCCTTGAGAGCAAAGACAGGTAAGCAAACGTTTTCTAATTCGATTACCACACAAAACCACACGTGAACCTTTTTGTCTGAGAGCTTTTCCTATTCCAGTTTCTGGTGCTAGGAAATAAGTCAGCGACAAGAGTATATAACAGCTTTATTCAAAACCACTGGATCATGCAAAGGCAAAAGGTAAAATGATCTAGCGTTTTTAAAGCGGCATGCATTAGTTAGGGGTGTTCAACCTTTTGAAACAAAAGTCTACCAAAGAATATCCCAGTTCTCCCCGATCACGCGAGTCATTAGTAGGTTCCTACTNCCAGTAAAACCAATGTTGGTTTGTAATCCATAAAGTATTTTGATGATTGCAGTTACTAGTCGTTTCAATTACACCAGAGACAAATGTACACAGGCGGTAAGTCTGCACGTATATGGGAATACAGGTGACGACATCACTCATTATAATACGTGCTGAGTGGTCAGTGAGGTTACCTGAGTGCTGTTCAGAGAAATGCAAATGAAATAGGGAAACGTGCACATATAATCAAGTACATCGAAGCAAGGGGAAATCAGGCAGCAAAGAGAACAACTAATTCGCAAGGGTTTTTGTGGCGGCCTTCTATGACCTTGGTAAGGGGACAAAATGATCAATTTGGCTGCCGGTGTAAACATTTAACAAGTACGTATATATATATACATATATACATATATA